TATCCTGATGGTTACTGTACTTGGCATTTATGGATCAGGTGATTGGCTCAAAAATTTCCACAAAAAAGTGCCCATGAGCAAAGATGAAAGCAAGCAGCTCACATACTTCCCAAAAGTCCTGCAAAAGACGAGTAACTGTCATTGAGATAAATGGAAATGATAAGGATGTGTTTTTCATTGACTAGTTTGATTGACGCATTTTCTGTCCAATGATTTTAGGTGATCTTGGAAATGATTGGCTGGAGTTTTTCCAAGTCCTGCCCGTTCCACAGATGATTAAATTGCTTAATTTTCATTTCAGTGCTTCTAACTCAGTGGCTGTAAGTGGGTTAGGAATAGGATTTAAAGTGATTTTGAAAAAAAATGGTCACATACCCCACCTTTAATTTTACACTATTTTTTCTAAATGTGTCTGTGACCAGTTTAAAAAAAAACTAGACCAAATGGTTCTGGTATAATATCAACCCAAATAGGCTATTTAGCCATTGTTTAATGGTGGAGTTTGTGATTTATGCTCCACTACTGGCAACCGAATTGCAAAAGTAAGTATTTCAAACAAGTTTCCATTGGTTTGGACAAACAAATAATCCCACAACACTGGTTAAGCCAGTGTCGTTATGCCTAAACCAGTCAGGCCTTTCAAACAAACAGATTGCAATTCTGTTTGGTGCCAGAAATGGCACACTTCACTTTTAAAAAATAATACAGCCTTTCTAAAACCTTGCCAATATTTAACGCAATAATGCACCATACCTCCCACAGATTAAGTCGAGGTTTACTGTGTTTATTTATACTCATGGTTTTTGCCAGGATTTGAGGTCTTTTGCAACCTTTGGGGTTTATTGAGGTTTTGAAACAAAGCCTGAAAAAGTGTTGGGCGTAGACGCTGGGCAGTTGCGTTGTGCAATCAAATAACAGCACCTCTGCACAACGCCGCTCACAAAAACGTGACACATTTGCTGCTCTGGTTTTCTTTCCTCACTCACTTCAGGTCTGTACATTGAGCAACACCTCATCACATATGTGTTTGTGAACCTGAACTACCATAGATCCCCTTGGATCCTGTTCCAATATCAAATTAGGTAATGATTTTTATTCATGAAGTCAGACGTTCAGTGCCAAATGCCCGTGCCAGGTAAAAGCATGGTTCTTGTGCAGGGGTATAGAAACCTCTGTTGAGTTAACAGCATGCTGTGAGTGAATGCAAATACAGGATATATTAGCAGAAGGTTACACTTTCCTGGCCAGACATGCCATTAGCCAGGGGTGAAGGTCAACCAGTAGGCAGAGGGAATTCTGTGAGGAAATTCTGAATGTATTGGTCAATGTGTTACATTGTACATATTTTAGCTGACCCCTAAATCATATCTAGAGGAAAATGCCTTTCGTACCTCAGTATATCTAATGGAATTATCCATTCCAGTATCACCAGTTTGATATAATTTGATGAGAAATGTTTTGGTTTACATTGAAATAGTTCTGATTAGACTTTGCATCTTGGTGAATCCCAGCACTAGCCTGGCATGCCAGACTTACATCAAGATGTTAGGTCTGGGAACTCATCATTGACCGGGCTCAATCCGAGGGGCGGGATAAACGGTTGTCTTTCAAATTCTCTCTGCATGCAATTAGATAGCGCTACAACCAATCAGAGCAACGAAGAAGGTGGCGACTGAGTCCCATGCGTTTTCCCACCAGCGGAGCAAGTTGATATATCAAACTTTTACTGTATCCAGTCGGCAAAACTCCGAACACATCTATTTTTTTTTTTAATGACTTAAGTGTCGTTCTTTGTTCTGGTTTCAAAGAAAATCTTAAGTTCAAATCATCCAGAGTAATGGTCAAAACCGAATCGAAAGACAGCTGTTCGCCAGCAGTAGCACAAGTAGCAGTGAACCGTTACAACTCTGTCGTCATTATGTTAAGCCCGCCCACCGACTCTATACACGATGTGATTGGCCTGACCAGAGTTTGTTTTTTCCCCGCTAAAGCCCTGTTCACACTACACGCGACCAAGCGACACGATACCATTCATTTTCAATGGTGATCGGGCGACTTCCGGCGACACGCGCGGTCACGACCGTTGGCGACCGGAGGGGTGTGTCCAGCGACGCAGCAAATTTGTCTGACCGAGGGCGAGGCAAGTTGAACGGGAAGCTCATTTTAGCAGTCAGAAACTGTCCTATAATTCATGATATATCTCCGTATACAGTGGTGTTCATCGTACTGACTCCGTGACTGAATGGTTTCAGGGAACCCAGATAGACTGGTATTTGCCCGTTTCCTGCAGTTAAATTGCCACGATGGCAAAGATCACTCACTGTTTCTAGATTTCTATTTACAGTTTTTTTGAGATCTTTTTTCTGAAACTTTGGACACATTTACTATGGTAATCATGTTGTTATTGTTAACTAAATTATTAAAAAATTGTTTTTGATATTTAAAATTAAATTGATATAAATATAAATAGCCTATTAGATAACGAATTTCAAACTTTAATGAAAATTAGCCTTGGCAGCTTGAAGTACTAAAATCTAATCACTTCATGACCACTAAAAAGTATGTTTTATGATGTGTGTGGTAAGAATGTAATCTGGGTGACCAACCAGTGTCTGATGTGCCTAATATTTTATGAGTACTGTGAATATATACTCCGTAAATATTTAGTAGGAAAGTATACGATTTTGGATGCAGCCAATGTGAAGGGTAGGGTTAGTGATAGGGACGGGATACGCGATCGTCAGCACCACTGTATCTTTTGGTCTGATGCTGCTGGCCTGGCGCTGCTGTCCTAACTAAGTCTGCTGTGGTTTTGCAGTCACCTGACCGATACAGGTTCCTTTAGGCATTGAGAGTGGTGCCATAAAAAAGGCATGATTGTGAACAGCTCTGAATAGAGCGTCACGTGTTTACATTTCGAGACTATGGTAATTACGCCATTGCATGAATGCAGCGTAACACACGACAGCTCATTATCCTTGTGATGCATAACACATAAAACAACTTAAGTGAATCAAGTCCTTTGATTACTAAGTGTGTAATGGAGATATATCCATGTGACTCTTATACACTGTTTTAAGTTTCTGTCAGATACCTCACAGAACAACCTGATTTTGTTCTTTATTCTTACTTGGGCTTGATGAATTCTCAACATTCCTGGTAAATAACATAAAAAGGTTGTGTGGCGCTGTGTTGAAGTCTTAAAAACCTAATTTTTTCTTCAAGATTGGTCTTAACTTTTTGAAGTCAGTTACAGAAAAAGTTAGTTTGGTCTAATCTACATCTGAAAAGTAAGAGTGATTACCTCTTGTACAACTGCTAGTTGGTTAAACTAGTTATTACGACACAGTCTTAATTTAGAGGCTAGTTTATGCAACTGGCCCCTGTGCTTTAAAGTGTAAGTTGTGCATTAAACTCCTTAACATGATTTACTGAAGTAGATTGTGTTCCTGTATCAATTACCTTGTTGACCACAAACAACATTTGTTTCAACCTATCAAACCTTATTTTTGGAGCTATCATTTTATGGGATGGATTGGCTTATGATTGTTTGATAGGAAAGTTATTACAAACAAACAATGTTGATCAAGGAACGTTATACTTGGGAAAATTTTGTTATGCGTTTTAGTTTAGTATGTCATAAAATTAAGTTTGCCAGCTCCTGGACCTTAAAAAACCTACTACAATGCTGAATCTCACATAGAAATGTATAGATCATGTTTCAAACCAAAATAAAAGACAAAGATGGATATAAATATATCCAATATACCATATGAAAATTAAAGCCTACTTGGCATATTTTGCATAAATATCATCCTCATTACAGTAAGGCAAAATAAATATAATTCCCATTACTGTTTAGTTTAAGATATAAGATTTAATATAATTTAATATATCTTTGCACATGGGCTACAATAACTAATTTTTCTGAATGCAAAGTTTTATGACAGTTTTTTTTATTATGTCAAATTGAAACAACTAAAAACACTCTAACACCATTTGCTCAAGGATGTTGTCAATTTTATATCATTATCTATTCTACTAACTAATAAAACGACCATCAACAGCCAATCAAAATTCAGCAGTTGAAATTTGACACCAAACAGCTACAGGATCTATTGGTTCTAATGTGATCATTATGACATGTTCTCCACATACGCTTAGATCAGAATAATTGCAGTGTTTAGCTTCGTTTTCATTTTTTCGTGTGGTTTTGGGGTGAAATATGACTTTCTTGACTCACACCACAATAACTTTTGAAGGCCCAGATGACCTTAATGTACAGAGTACAGGTAATTCAACCTCTCCTTTGTGTGTTTATATTGTGGACTTCTCTTTAACACTGTCACCGGGACTTTAGGAAAAGGGCACATAAGGACAGGTCTGTTCTTATATCTAGATGATAAAATCATAATTTAGTATGATTCATAAGCTGTTTTCCTCATGAGGACCAAGTTCAAAAATGACTTCTCCATGTTTGTGTTTATCGCCATGTTTGTGAGGACATTTGGTCCCCAGAATGTAGGGTTTACCAGGACCGCACACATACTCAGAGTGTCATGATGAGTGTTGTAGAGTTGTGATGAATTTGGCTGTTGGCTGAAGGCAGCAGATGGGTCAGCAGAGGATCCGTGTAAGCACTTCCTACCGCCTCTCTCCGGCATTAATGAGAAAACCACTTCAAAACAAACTCAACGTTCTTTTTAATCTGCTAATGGCAGTAACGGTAGCAGCCGCCATGTTTCTACAGTTAGTTCAGCTATGCTAAAATAATAGAATTATATCTGGATTATGTGTAGACTTTTAACTGGATATAAAATTTGTCTTTCTCTCAGTTTCATAAGAAACTGTCAGAATTAGTTATTTTAGCTATGCTAAGGAAGAAGTTCAGCTGCGTACAAATGTAAATAGTACTTCTTATTACACTTTCTTATTATACGCTTATGGAAGTAATGTGTAATGATTGAACACAATTCTCTCTCTGTCTCTCTCCCTTTAAGGCTTGGCTGCAGAGGTATGGCTACCTCCCTCCCACAGACCCCAGAATGTCCGTCCTGCGGTCAGATCAGACCATGCAGTCTGCTATCGCTGCCATGCAGCGTCTCTACGGCCTTAATGTCACCGGTGAACTGGATAAGAACACCATTAAGTGAGTAGCAGTTACACTCTCACTATAGCTCCCATATTGACTGATTCTGGGTCAGAAGTTTAAGATGATGTTGTTCTTCTCAGAGACTCTTTAACATTACTGACTGTGCACATTGCACGACAAAATGCCCATAAGTGCCCTTAAGGTGATTGACCCTGTTGAAAAGACCAATAAAGATGGATGCCTGTTTGGTTACCAATCATGAGGTGTTTCTACCAGCAGTGGCGCTAGCAATACAGGTCATGGGTTCAATGCATGAACTAATACAAAAAGTTTCAATTTTGATATTTTTAGGTCAGACCGTTTGTGTCTATCAGTCATATAATGGAGGTCTATGGTCACCACCTCAAAGAGCATGCACAGAGAAGTCCAAATTAAACATGATTTAATGACTCATAAAGGCCTAAGACACAAAACGAGGGGTTTGTGTGAGAAAACGAACGGTATTTATATTGTTTTTACCTCTTGTAACCACAGCCACAAAGCACCAGCGACGTGGCTGTGGTTACAAGAGGTAAAAACAATATAAATACTGTTGGTTTTCTCACACAAACCGCTCATTTCGTGTCTTGGGCCATCAATGTGTACTTACATTTTTGAGTCATTAAATCATGTTTAATTTGGACTTCTGTGTGCATGCTCTTTGAGGTGGTGACCATAGACCTCCATTATATGACTGACAGACAAGAACGGTTTGACCTAAAAATATCAAAATTGAAAAATACTGTGGAAACAAAGACACCTACATCTTGGATGCCCTTTAGGTAAGCTAAAACATACCAAAAATTTATTTCAAAGTGAACTATCCCTTTAATTTCAGAAACGTCTTTGCAGACTGTTCAAAGCTCTAAAACACAACATGATAAATGTATTGATATTACAAAATAGATCTGTATCTCCTGCTTACTGAATATGATGTACAGCCGTGATTCCCACCCGAATAAGACATGTTTCTAGTTTAGTGTTATTAAAAGGCACTTGAGCCTTTGTGATAAGACCGAGGAGCTCTATATGACTGAAAATGTTGGGAAACACTGATGTACAATATCTTGCCGCTAGGATCATGGTGATTTCATATCTCTTATGTACTGTTTTTGCTTCCTTTTTGCTTCGGCATAGTGATATCACTATAAGGTGAGGCTGATTCTTCTCTTGTGATTTTGTTTTTATGCATTCAAAACCAAACTTCTCTCTCTCTCTCTCTCTCTCTCTCTCTCTCTCTGTGTGAACTCTATTGAAGTTGTTCTTAGCAAGATCAGAATGAGAGAAAGCTGATTTAGAGTATCATGAAATATATATTAGTGATCGTGGAAAGCATTCATTAGCTGATATTTGGCTTCTTTGGATATTGTTATTGGAATTGGATATTAAAAACAAGTGCGACCAAATCCAAAAATGCAAAGTAAATTAAGTATACCACAATAGAGTTGGAAAAGGTGTATATAAACTTTAAATATGAAACCCTTATGGAATTTGAGACGTTATTCTGGAATGCTAATTCATCAAGGAACATTTTAGAGGCTCAGACAGGATGAATGTCACGAGTCAGAAGCAATGCATTATGAATGAATCTACTTCTTTCTCTCTCTCAGCTGGATGAGGAAGCCAAGGTGTGGGGTGCCAGACCAGTTCGGCGGTGGCTCGAAATTTAGCGTCCGAAAAAGACGTTACGCCCTCACAGGGCAGAAGTGGCAACATAAACATATCACATACAGGTGAGTTACAAAAGCACACTTCCTTTGTGTGTATGTGTGTGATATGAAATGCATTTCTTGTTCTGAGATTTCTGCAAAAAAAAAAAATCTTAAAGGAGTAGTTCACTTTTTAAAAAAAACTTTTGTTGATAAATTACTCACCCCCATGTCATACAAGATGTCCATGTCTTTCTTTCTTCAGTCAAAAAGAAATTAAGGTTTTTCCAGAATTTTTCTCCATATAATGGACTTCAATGGGAACCAAACGGTTCAAGGTCCAAATCAGAGTTTCAGTGCAGCTTCAAAGGGCTTTAAACGACACCAGACGATGAATAAGGGTCTTATCTAGTGAAACAAACGCTCATTTAAAAAATAAATAAAAAAGTTTAAGTTTTATAAACTTAAATGGTGACCTTGCTCTGTTCTGTGATGAGGGTTTGTGACTCTCCTGTTCGAACTTCTTTTTTCGAGTCATGACTTCGAAGGGTCCTATATAAGTCCCTTATTCATCGTCTGGTGTCGTTTAAAGCCCTTTAAAGCTGCACTGAAACTCTTTTGGACCTTGAACCGTTTGGTTCCCATTGAAGTCCATTATATGGAGAAAATCCTTTAATGTTTTCATCAAAAACCTTAATTTCTTTTTGACTGAAGAAAGAAAGACGTGGACATCTTGGATGACATGGGGGTGAGTAAATTATCAGCAAAAGTTTTTTTTTTTTTAAAGTGAACTACTTCTTTAATCAGTATTTTTGTCTCGTTTTCCAGTAAACATCTTTAAAACAAGATAAATCCACTTCAGACAAGACATGATTTCAGAGAAAGTTTTTCTTTTCTTTTAAGCTTAAATCTAACAACATTCAAGTGCGGGTTATGTTTAAATACATTTGCCAATGGGGTAAGAAAAACACACTTAATTCTAAATATTTTATGTCATTTTGTTTATCGAGTATAAACGTGTCTTCTTTTAAGGATGTTTAAATGTGTTCACTAAAAAAAACTACACTAATACTGATTAAGAAAATGATTTGTGCCAGGCTAGCAGCAGTGCTGAGATAATTAGGCTGTCAGATTCTTCTCCCTCACCTCACTGTTTGCCTGCCAAACTCCCTTCACTCGTCCTAAATCACTCATCTCTTCCCCTCTCCCAGCTGGCCTCACTCCCTCTGTGTTTACAAACCTTTATTGGAATGACTGTAAATGATCAAGTTTCACTATATTATTCAAGCCTAATTATTTAAAGACTATACAGTACTTTATGTACACCATCAGGATAAACTTTATTTGAAGGTGTCATTGTTACAATGTAATTAATTATACATTAAATTACTGAGTTATATTAATTAACAACATGTAATTATGAATAATTTACTGTTATTGTAAGTAGATGTAACATATGTAACAAGGACACTGTAAAATAAAGTGTTACCCGCTACCATGTAGCCCTCAAACCGTATTCACTTTATAGCCCTTAATCCTGTAATTGTGGGCACAGAGGACTCAGGTGTGATCCTAATTTTTATTTATTATAAATGTTATATCACTGTCTTCGATAAAGTTTTGTCTATACATTTATGGTGTTTTATTTTTATTTTGGGGGTATTTTTGAATTTATTTACTTCAAAAAGTACCATATTTTCTATGTAAACTATGCTTATTTTTATGTTTAATATTTTTTTTTTTTTTTACTACATTAAAATATCATTCCAATAAGTTCTTAGAGCTAAAACCTAAAGATGAAGTGACTTTGCTGTCACCTGGTGTCTTATTTTGGCTTATTTTAGAATGATCTAAATTACAGTTTTTCCCATTCATATCTGTGGGTGCCCATTTATGACCCAAATACAAGATTAAGGAGTTTTTCTTTTCACCCACTTAACATTGTAGAATTGAGTCAAAAAAAAATTGTGTGTGTTCAGGAGGCAAACTTATGAAAAGTAGCCAAGTCTTGTACCGCTCAGATCAAGGGAAGTATTTTTTAAAAAATAAATCAAAACTATTTTACCCACATTTTTCCAGAATACAGTTTTAGGGTTAAATGTTTAGGGTCAGTAAAATTACAATGAATGCTATTCTTTTTAACTTTCTATCCATCAAAAAGTCCTGAAAAGATTGTATCACAGTTTCCACAAAAATATTAAGCAGCGCCGGTTTCAGATTTGATAATTGTTTCTTGATCAGCATATTAGAATGATTTCTGAAGGATCATGTGACACTAAAGACTGGAGGAATGATGCTGAAAATTGAACTTTGCATCACAGGAATATAATCAGAATCATGCTTTGCATTGTTTTGCCCTACATTGTTCTTATATGACATCACCAACATTGTGATTTGTACAGTATTGTTGTGAGATCTATTATTGTTAAATGCTCTCTATCCAAAATGCAAGATTTGTTTTGATAATCCCACAGCTTATGTATGTATGACCTATATTCAAATATAACTGCATTACATTTGCCTTAAAATAATCTGCCTGAGTATTGCGAGGACGGGTTTGCGTGACGGACGCGAAAGAAAAAGTCCCCGAAAAGCAGCCCAATACTCCTAGAACATAATAACAGACGTTCATCCACCTATAAAAGTGGTCCCAAATGATAACAGAATGTAACAGAATAACAAACATTCTTACTGAATAATTCATGTAAGTGCTTTAACAAAACAAAAAACAAAAAGCTTTACTTGTCTGCTTTTAAACTCTTCGGACTTTTTTAGCTGTCAGCAAGTTAATATAAAGCCGTTTTTGCAATCTGATGGACACGAAGAAATGATAAAAGACCATACAAGTGTACCAAAATACTTTGATGTGATGTAAATCAAACAATATGGTCTACCGAGGAAGAGAGAGAGAGAAAGAGAGAGAGAGAGAGAGAGATTATGATTATGCAATGGAATGCTGCTTGGTGGCTTTAGGCAGTAGTGTGTGTGTGTCTGCGTATGTGTGTGTGTGTAGCCAGGCTGAGCAGATGGGTAGGCAGATGTTCCCTTCAGTACTCCCTGCTCTCTGTCTTGATCCAGACTGTACCACCCTTCACCTTCCCCTAACCCTGGATCATACCATGTGAACAGCACACACACACACACTAGAGCCCTCTCCTCATCCTCATACTATAACAAGCACAAATAGCATCTGTGTGATGCTATCACTGTGTCATTATATTCCTGTGAGTGTGTGTGTGTGTGCTAATTGAGTTGGTCTCAAAGCAGTCTGTGTTCTCATAACCACTGACACACACACACATTCACGTAACTGACATGGTTTCAGTATCGCCAGCGAAAGACTTAGAGGGACAAAGCGCAGTGTTGTGTATTCAGTGTCCAGGGGACTCTTTCGTGTGAGCCCTTGTGTTTACATGGGTTTAGACGATATAATACCAACATTTTTATAGGAACAGCATGTGTAATGAACAACACTGTTGTTGCATTTTGATTCGGCAGAAGCTCATCTGGGCTGGGTCGAATATTTTCAACACCAAACGAACACTTTATATATTTAGGATTCAGTATGAGCTCTGTGGACAGCTTTTGTGGCATAATGTTGATCATCACAGAATTTTTTTTTTTTTTAAATGGTTGCAATAAAATCATTGGATGCATACCAGGTCGGCATCTTTTTAAAAGCATGATCAGATTTAAAAAAAAATATGTTATTAACATATTACAGCTATATGTTTTTTTGTTTTGTTTTTTTGTTGTTGTTTTTTTTTAGTAGAAGTAAATCAACCCAGTACACTCTAAAAATGCTGGGTTGTTTTAAACCAACTTTGGGTCAAATATGAAACACAAACAAAAATTAATTATTCAGTACAACTGTGTTTACTTTGATCTATAAAGTCTAAATCTACAGAATTTACTAAATTGTTATTTTTAATGCTTTTTAATGTTTATATATATATATATATGAAGAGTTCAGATGCAAAAGCCTCTAAATGCCATTTGAAATTTTCTTCTTTAATGATGATTTTTATCAAACTTGTATATTTAAGTTCAGTAATTTCACTTAAATAACAATTAATAGGTAATTATCATTGCCATTTAAGTGAAATAACTGAACTTAAATATACAAGTTTGATAAAAAATGATCATTCTAGAAGAAAATTTCAAATGGCACTTAGAGGCTTTTGCATCTGAACTCTTCAAATGTATGTATACAGCCAAAGCTATTAAACAAGGCCTTCTTACAAATTGTATATAGAGGACAATATCCTTGCTGTTCAGGTTTCCTAGTGGAAAGACTTGGTGGTGGTGTAGTCTAGTGGTTAAAAAGCTGGGCCAATATCCAGACAGTTACAGGTTCAAACCCCAAAAGAGGTGGTGTATATGAATTATAACCATTGTGCCCTTCTGACATACACTTAACCCCTACCTGACGTTTTGATTTAACGCGGTTAGATTGTGGAAACGATTTCCACTGGCACTGTTCATTAGCCAAGTGCTTTTTGGCATCCAAAACTGATGCAAATTTATACACCGATTCTTTATCATCTACTGATTCAATTCTGTATGTAGCAGATGAGATGCACCGCTGGAAGTTTTGTAAGACACCTCGCACACAGATAACAAGCTTCACGGCAGCTGAGCTGAAAATATAAGCCTGGAGAGGAAAAGAAATATATGAAGGGTCATGAAGTTCAAAGACAGGATTATGATTTCTGGGAAGTACAGCTGAGAAAGAAAAATACATGAACGGTGGAAGCCAGATGTTGATCTAATAGTTTGCTCTCACAGACAGAACAACTGTATGAGGATGATATCAAACCCCATCCTGCACCACCTGGAGGGAATGAGAGAGAAATAGAGATAGAGAGCTTAGGTTTCCCTGAGATATTATGTCTTGTAAATATTTTAAGAGGCACAGCTTTAATAGAGTTTAAATTCCTCAGCACATTTGAGAAAACAGCTGCTACTGGGTTGATAGAGAGTTTTGGCTGATACACAGACACTAGCACAAAATACCCAATATGGGTTAATTCACCCAAAAATGAAAATTATGTCATTAATGACTCACCCTCAAGCCTGTAAGACCTCTGTGGAACACGGTTTAAGATATTTTAGATTCAGTCCGAGAGCTTTCTGTCCCTCCATTGAAAATGTACAGGATGTACGGTATACTGTCCTTGTCCAGAAAGGAAATAAAGACATCATCAAAGTAGTCCATGTGACATCAGTGGGTTAGTTACAATGTTTTGAAGCATCGAAAATACATTCTGGTCCAAAAATAACAAAAACTACGACTTTATTCAGCATTATATTGTCTTCCGGTTCTGTTGTCAATCTGCGGTTCAAATTTAGTGATGAACTGAACCGGAAGAGAATACAATTCTGAATAGAGTCGTAGTTTTTGTTATTTTTGGACCAGAATGTATTTTCGATGCTTCAAAACATTGTAACTAACCCACTGATGTCACATGGACTACTTTGATGATGTCTTTATTTCCTTTCCGGACAAGGACAGTATACCTTACATACATTTTCAATGGATAATATAAGATAATATTTTAAACTCTGTTCTGAAGATGAACAGAGGTCTTACGGGCTTGGGACAACATGAAGGTGAGTCATTAATGACATAATTTTCATTTTTGGGTGAACTATCCCTTTAAGAGTAAGAGTCAAGATCTGCTAATTAGGTGTAACAAATCATTTAAAATTAAAAAATATTTTATAAAACTTTCATAATTACCTTAATCTTACATTTACAATAGAATACATTTGATAAAAATCACCTGTCAAGCTTAAAATATGGCCTATATTACAGAGTCAAATTGGACATCTACAGGACTTATCTCAAGATCACACATTTAACAGTTCATTTATTGCTGAAATTATGAAAAATGATCAGTCAAGAATATAATTATTGAAAATATTAAAATCAGGAGTGTCAGAATTAGAATGTAAAGTTTGTGCATGAAAATGTCCGTCAAAACCAACATGTTGAACGACGTTCAATAACCTGGTGAAGTTTTTCAATTTGGATTGGCGTTTATTCTCTTTACACTCTAAAAAAAATGCTGGGTTGTTTCAACCCAAATTTGGGTCAAATATGGACAAACCCAAATGTTGGGTTAAAAATGTAATAAAAAAAAGTGAAATTTTAAGTTGGGTTAAAATTTTTAATTACATTTTTAACCCAACATTTGGGTTGGTCCATATTTGACCCAAAAGTTGAAGTTGGGTTAAAATTTTAAATACATTTTTTAACCCAACATTTGGGTTTGTCCGTATTTGATCCAAATTTGGGTTGAAACGACCCAGCATTTTTTGGAGTGTAGCATGCAGTTTGTAGCCTTTCACTCAGTTCCCTGATCATTCCGATTCAATTTCAGCGTGTGAAGAACAAATTCACGTATTACGTACGTTATCGTTTTTGACAGACAGCACGATGAAGGCTGCCTTTTACACCCTTTTCTCGAAAAGCTGGGATCTAGTCAAAACATCTGGTAGTATGGGTTTCATACTACATATGTATGTGCAACACAGGGTTATTTATGTGATCACTACATGTTAAATTCACACTTCCTGATTGTTGTCATCTAATCTTTCTAGCATAAAAAACGTCACACCTAAGGTGGGAGCGGAGGAGACCCACAACGCCATTCGCCGGGCGTTCGACGTGTGGCAGAACGTCACACCGCTGCGTTTCGAGGCAGTTCCCTACAGTGACCTGGAGCGCAACAAGAAAGATGTGGATATTACTATCATTTTCGCCTCAGGTTTCCATGGCGACAGCTCCCCTTTTGATGGAGAAGGGGGTTTCCTTGCACATGCCTACTTTCCTGGTCCAGGGATCGGGGGAGATACACACTTTGATTCGGATGAGCCCTGGACACTAGGGAATCCTAACCATGACGGTATGTAAACCTTATTATATTGGCCGCGTATAAACCCAACTTTATTGGAGAATAAATCCCAGTTCGCTCTCCATTAAAGCGAATAACTTTGTTGTCTTGCCCCTGCTTTTCTGGACTGCTCTAGAAAATCTTACGATATACGTATTACATTCCTTTCAAATGAAAAGAAACTGATATTTTGAGAGCATTTTGAGAACAACAAATCAGTAGATTTGAGTTTTACAAGTTTATATAATCAAGTAGTTTTGAAAGTTGTTTGAGGAACTTGGTATCAAGTAAACCAGATTTTCAGCAATTTTATATTCTGCTTTTTTTTTCTGTGAAAATATCAGTACTTATTACTTTTGGATAAATGGTCGCATCATAATTTGAGTTTTTCCACACTATTACAGTATTGTTGTTTCATTGATTTCAGATTTATCCAACCTTAAACAACTCGTTCAACTTAAACAAACTGTGGTTTCTGTACACACTGGTCAAATGGTCTCTTCCTGGGCATTTCTTGACCAGAATAAGCAGCAGCTTAGATCGGATTCGGACACTAAGCCAAAGTCTGTCTCTGCGAGACCAGATTGTCAGATCTCACTAGAAAAATAACCCAAAAAACTAAGACAAAAAAAGCCCAAAGTAAGCGACTCAGTTCAATAAAATACACCACACATTTGTGTGGGTTAATGGTGTTAATTGTTGTGTGGGATAGTAACTGTAAATGAACCATCAAAACTGAAAACCGTGACTTTACAGTAAGAAAAAGAACATGGCAACGGATTCTGACTTCAAGTGTTCTGAATTTAGAAAATGTAATTTGTCAGAATGCATTATGTGGGGGCAGAGTCAGAGTACTGTCAATCATTCGATAATTGAATCCATTACCATGCAATATTACTCATCAATTTTTCAACAGGAATTTTTTTATACCAATGCCAGAGAGCAATAATAAACTTGACGTGCAACCTAATTCACAGTAACAATGGTATCCATATATCATGACCAGTTCTTAACCTTTTCTAACACATACCCGAACTCGTTTCACATAATCTCAATTTCAAACTTATAGTCGCAGCTCATCTAGCTGCAATGCATTGCAACACAACAACCAGCTAACCTTCCTTATCACGTCAATATACAGTAGAGTCCATTTCCACATCAGATTAAACATTAAAAATGGTCATTGTGAGATAAATAAAGAAACAGACATATTGTGAAATATAAAGTCAAAGAGATATTGAGTTATTTAAATGTGAGATATAAAATATTGTGATATAAAGTCACATTTTGAAAAGTTATTGAGAAGAGTATTTAGCTGGTGAAGTGGATTTGCTTATTGTAGAGTTAGTTAAAGTTATCATGAGCATTGTAATGTTTGAAGTGGATATCATAACAGATGTTAGACCCCGAGCGGTTCATAAATCCATAAGATCTTACTTTCATACTGTGGAAATACAAACCTGAAGATAGAAAGGAATGAGTGCAGCGCTGAAAAGGGGCGGGGCTACATAAGATCTATAAAGTTGCGAGATGTAAAGATGAAATTATGAGACGCAAAATCACAACTGACAGATATAAAGTCAGATTTTGAGACATAAATATCATTGTGAGATGTAAAAGTTGCAATTGTGAGACCTAATCACAATTAACCATATACTAAAATATTTAGTTGTGATTAAAAAATGCATAAGATATAAAAGATCATTTGTGAGTCACAATTATGAGAGAAACAGTAGTAATTACAACATATAAAGTCACAATTTTCTTATTCATTTTTTACCCTGAGGCAGAAACAAGCCTCCATACTTCAATATCCTCTCCTTCAAATCTAACTGCCCTCTCATCCTCCATTTCCCCTGCACTCATTCTCTTCCTCTCTCTATTTTCTATATTTTCTACACTTGTCATCCTGCTATCATAGGAACCCTTTAGGTCTCTCTATCTCTCTCTCTCATTCACCACATTTCAAATTGTTGCCATTTCTGCCATCTATCTTTATAATAGGCCTACTTGCATACACCCACAAAGCACGGTGTCAACAGGAGACAACACTTATGCGCCTCTGTCAAACCAAACCCCTGCCTGTTGCTGGGCACGATTTTTGTGTTGTGTTGGTTTTGTTGACGTGCACAGCTCTCACACATCCTCCCTCACGTGGGCCGACACTTCCACTCTCTGCTTGTGGACATCCTCTCTACCTCCACTGTCTTGTCGGAGAGTTCGGCTGTAAGTAGGTCAGCTTGTGTGTAAAAGCAGCAAGTGATGGGGATTTTAGGAGTATAATAAGGGACACACAGCTCACAAGATGTTTAGTCTGAGTTAGGGGGACAAACTACACAGAAAAATGCGAATTTCACCCTTATTTCCAAATTCGTACCTTCTCTTTCAATTTTATCGCTCTGCTTGGTTTCAGAAGCAGACACAAGGAACATTACGGCTGGGCTGTAGAACTGTGTGTGAAGGAGAGCAGTTAGACCTCACAACAGGAACATTCTCCTGGTCTCATTCTAGGCTGAGAGAAAGAGAGATTGTCTGTGACGATAAAGATGAAATACACAGAATAGAGCAATAGTACAACTGCAGCCAGTTTAGCACTAAAACTGTGAACTGTGTGTAGCTTCTGTCCTTCTGCTAGGGTGTCATGGTGCAGTGGTTGAAGATCTGGGGTTGTAACCGAAAGGTTGGAGGTTCAAATCAGCATGGCAAGGTTTGATTCGCTAGCATGGTCCAATTAGCCTGTTCTAGTAGATGCCACAACTTCATATCGCAGTCTTTCTCCATTGACAACCATTCAAAGAGTAGTTTCATTTATTTAATGGAGAATATTTTTTTTTAATTAAATTGACAGCATTTTTTTCCTAACCCACTATTAGATGTATAAACCTGAAAAAAAAATTGTAATACGACTATTTTTTTATGTCGATGATTTTAACTCGAATTTTGTTATTGTAAAGAAAAATTGCAATATGAATAAAACATTTATTTATTAACTTACCATAACATGTTAATTAAATACAATTTTTTAGTCAATGCCATTAAGTCTAGCCAAATATACACTGTAAGAAAAAAATCTGTACAAAAAAACTACAACACAATTACCAGTACTTTTTCCGGTTAAGTTTACGGATATTACCGTCAAGCCTAAAACACAACAAAATGAGGTGCGTAATTGAAATTAGGGTAAAATACCTGTGAAAAATCAATACAGAAAATGCCTGCATATTAGCACAGTATCTAACATCTAATTCAAATCAGCCTGTATGTAACATGAAAACCTATAATATTTCCAGCTGATCATACAGGCACCATTATACTCTTGAAAAGATAAGCAGCAAATGTTTTGTTTTTCACCCAAATGTCCCCGGGGAGGGGTCCACTCAGCCAAACACGGATTCTGAAGTTTCCCGCACTCTTAAGTTGATGTGATAACATCGGCTACAGTGGAAAATATGGAACATTCATGTGGTTGCATTCATGCAGGAAATTAAAATTCCAGAGTGATATTTTCTCTCCCTCACCCAAATCAGGGTGAGACGGGCTCTGTGTGTAGGAAAAACAATCGAGAGTGAGGAATGACCGGAATGTTTCCTGAATCAGGAGACATGCTTAAATAATTCAAGAATTTCACCTACATTCCTGATGAACACATTTAGTCAAATGCAAGAGCAGGCAGGAATCGTAGCTCGTGTTAGAGCAGTGTGGTGATGTTGGAGGAAGAGGAGGGAGGAAATGAACATCTGGAAAACTGTGCAAGGAACAAGCTCTGCTGGAAGAGAATAATTGGACAGATAAGTGTGGATGATACAGTAAATGCACAGACGAAGAGGAACTTATATATTGCATGTCCACATGGTTCAGTTGACTATCAACATAAAGAGGTGTACTGTATGTGTGTGTGTGTGTGTGTATTTTTTGGATGGATGGATGGATGGATGCATGGATGGATGATGGATAAATAGATGGATGGATAAATAGATGGATGGTTGGATAGATGGATAAATAGATGGATGGATTGATGGATGGATGGATGGATGGATGAATGGATGGGTGGATGGATAAATGGATGGATGGATATATGGATGGATGGATAAATGGATGGATGGATGGATAAATGGATGGATGGATATATGGATGGATGGATAAATGGATGGATGGATGGATAAATGGATGGATGGATATATGGATGGATGATAAATGGATGGATGGATGGATAAATGGATGGATGATGGATAAATAGATGGATGGTTGGATAGATGGATAAATAGATGGATGGATGGATGGATTGATGGATGGATGGATGGATGGATGGATGGATGGATGGATAAATGGATGGATGGATATATGGATGGATGGATAAATGGATGGATGGATGGATAAATGGATGGATGGATATATGGATGGATGGATAAATGGATGGATGGATGGATAAATGGATGGATGGATATATGGATGGATGATAAATGGATGGATGGATGGATAGATGGATGGATGGATGATGGATAAATAGATGGATGGATAAATGGATGGATGGATAAATAGATGGATGGATAAATAGATGGATGGATGGTTGGATAGATGGATAAATAGATGGATGGATAAATGGGTGGATTGATGGATGGATGATAAATAGATGGATGGATGGATAAATAGATGGGTGGATGGATAAATAGATGGGTGGATGGATGGATGGATGGATGGATGGATGGATGGATAAATAGATGGATGGATAAATAGATAAATTGATGGATGGATAAATAGATGAATGGATTGATGGATAAATAGATGGATGGATGAATGGAAAAATAGATGGATGGATAAATGGGTGGATTGATGGATGGATCATAAATAGATGGATGGATGGATAAATAGATGGGTGGATGGATGGATGGATAAATAGATGGATGGATAAATAGATAAATAGATGGATGGATAAATAGATGAATGGATTGATGGATAAATAGATGGATGGATGAATGGAAAAATAGATGGATGGATAGATTTATTTGTCAATG